ATTCTGAAGTCTGGGCAACAGAAGGACAATATGGACCAGCAAAGAATGCCCGTCCTGTTCAAATTAAACTAAAGGATTCCGCCTCCTTTCCCTACCAAAGGCAGTACTCCCTTAGACCCAAGGCCCAACAAGTACTCCAAAAAAATTGTTAAGGACCTAAAAGCCCAAGGCCTAGTAAAACCATTCGGTAACCCCTGCAATACTCCAATTTTAGGAGTACAGAAACCCAACAGACAGTGGAGGTTAGTGCAAGATCTCAGGATTATCAGTGAGGCCCTTGTCCCTCTATACCCAGCTGTACCTAACCATTATACTCTGCTTTCGCGAATACCAGAGGAAGCAGAGTGGCTTACAGTCCTGGACCTTAAGGATGCCTTTTTCTGCATCCCTGTACATCTTGACTCTCAATTCTTGTTTGCCTTTGAAAATCCTTTGAACCCAACGTTTCAACTCACCTGGACTGTCTTACCCCAAGGGTTCAGGGATAGCCCCCATCTATTTGGCCAGGCATTAGCCCAAGACTTGAGCCAGTTCTCACACCTGGACACTCTTGTCCTTTGGTACGTGGATGATTTACTTTTAGCAGCCCATTCAGAAACTTTGTGCCATCAAGCCACCCAAGCGCTCTTAAATGTCCTCGCCACCTGTGGCTACAAGGTTTCCAAACCAGAGGCTCAGCTCTGGTCACAGCAGGTTAAATACTTAGGGCTAAAATTATCCAAAGGCACCAGGGCCCTCAGTGAGGAATGTATCCAGGCCATACTGGCTTATCCTAATCCCAAAACCCTAAAAGAACTAAGAGGGCTCCTTGGCATAACAGGCTTCTGCCGAATATGGATTCCCAGGTACGGCAAAATAGCCAGGCCATTATATATACTAATTAAGGAAACTCAGAAAGCCAATACCCATTTAGTAAGATGGACACCTGAAGCAGAAGCGGCTTTCCAGGCCCTAAAGAAGGCCCTAACCCAAGCCCCAGTGTTAAACTTGCCAGCAGGGCAAGACTTTTCTTTATATGCCACAGAAAAAACAGGAATAGCTCTAGGAGTCCTTACACAGATCTGAGGGATGAGCTTGCAACCCGTGGCCTACCTAAGTAAGGAAATTGATGTAGTGGCAAAAGGTTGGCCTCATTGTTTACGGGTAGTGGCGGCAGTAGTGGTCTTAGTATCTGAAGCAGTTAAAATAATACAAGGAAGGGATCTTACTGTGTGGACAGCTCATGATGTGAACAGCATTCTTACTGCTAAAGGAGACTTGTCGCTGTCAGACAACCGTTTACTTAAATATCAGGCTCTATTACTTGAAGGGCCAGTGCTGCGACTGCGCACTTGTGCAACTCTTTACCCAGCCACATTTCTTCCAGACAATGAAGAAAAGATAGAACATAACTGTCAACAAGTAATTGCTCAAACTTATGCTACTCGAGGGGACCTTCTAGAGGTTCCCTTGACTGATCCCAACGTCAGCTTGTATATTGATGGAAGTTCCTTTGTAGAAAAAGGACTTCAGAAAACGGGGTATGCAGTGGTCAGTGATAATGGAATACTTGAAAGTAATCCCCTCACTCCAGGAACTAGCGCTCAGCTGGCAGAACTAATTGCTTTCACTCGGGTGCTAGAAATAGGAGAAGGAAAAGGGGTAAATATATATACAGGCTCTAAGTATGCTTGCCCAGTCTTCCATGTCCATGCAGCAATATGGAAAGAAAGGGAATTCCTAACTTCCGAGGGAACACCTATCAAACATCAGGAAGCCATTAGGAGATTATTGACTGTACAGAAACCTAAAGAGGTGGCAGTCTTTCACTGCCAGGGTCATCAGAAAGGAAAGGAAAGGGAAATAGAAGGGAACTGCCAGGCAGATTTTGAAGCAGAAAGAGCCACAAGACAGGACCCTCCATTAGTAATGCTTATAGAAAGACCCCTAATATGGGGTAATCCCCTCTGAGAAGCCAAGAAATAGAATGGGGAACCTCATGAGGACGTAGTTTCCTCCCCTGAGGATGGCTAGCCACCAAAGAAGGAAAAATACTTTTGCCTGCAGCTAACCAAAGGAAATTACTTAAAACCCTTCACCAAACCTTTCACTTAGGCATTTATAGCACCCATCAGATGATCAAATTATTATTTACTGGATGAGGGCTTTTCAAAACTATCAAGCAGATAGTCAGGGCCTGTGAATTGTGCCAGAGAAATAATCCCCTGCACTGCAGGCCATACATTTCAATCCCTGTATCTTTAACCTCCTTGTTAAGTTTGTCTCTTCCAGAATCGAAGTGTTAAAACTACAAATGGTGCTTCAAAGGGAGCCCCAGATGCAGTCTGTGACTAAGATCTACCACAGACCCCTGGACCGGCCTGCTAGCCCATGCTCTGATGTTAATGACATCGAAGGCACCCCTCCTGAGGAAATCTCAACTGCACAACCGCTACTACGCCCCAGTTCAGCAGGAAGCAGTTAGAGCGGTCGTCGGCCAACCTCCCCAACAGCACTTGGGTTTTCCTGTTAAGAGGGACTGAGAGACAGACTAGCTGGATTACCTAGGCCAACTAAGAATCCCTAAGCCTAGCTGGGAAGGTGACCGTATCCACCTTTAAACATGGGACTTGCAACTTAGCTCACACCTGACCAATCAGGTAGTAAAGAGAGCTCACTAAAATGCTAATTAGGCAAAAACAGGAGGTAAAGAAATAGCCAATCATCTATCGCCTGAGAGCACAGTGGGAGGGACAACGATCGGGATATAAACCCAGGTATTCGAGCCAGCAACGGCTACCCTCTTTGGGTCCCCTCCCTTTGTATGGGAGCTTCTGTCTTCACTCTTAAATCTTGCAACTAAAAAAAAAAAAAAAAAGAAATGCCAACTTGTTAAATGCCAAGTTTCTTTGCTTTAGGCTGTAATTTTCTGAGTGCATTGTGACAATATGGGTTATTCTGATTAGTAACTTTCGGAATTAATTTATTGGAAAAACAAGTTATTACTAAATGAAGTTTGATTGGTAGAACTGTTTCAGATGGGGTCCTTGGAGGGCAGACTTGGAAGTAAAGGAAAGGAGTTCTTCATAATAAAAAGTTGGGAGTCATTCAGCCTTTATCCTTGCGAGTCTTCTTCCCATTTTTCAGTCTGTCAGATAGGAAATAAGAGTTTTAATTTTTTTGATATTAGAAATTTAAATAAATACTATTCATTAACTTAGGAAGACAGTAATTGAAAATCATATTCTTTGGCCGGGCATGGTGGCTCACACCTGTAATTCCAGCACTTTGGGAGACCAGGGTAGGAGGACCATTGAGCCCAGGAGTTCGAGACCAACCCTGGCAACATAGTAAAACCCCAGCTCTACAATAAAATTTTAAAAATTAGCCAGGTATGATGGCATGCACCTGTAGTCCCAGCTACTCGGGAGGCAGAGATGGGAGGATCACTTGAGCCTGGGAAGTTGAGGCTGCAGAGAGCCATGATCATGCTACTGCACTCCAGCCTGGGTGACAGAGCAAGACCCTGTCTCAGGGGGAAAAAAAAGATATTCTTTAAGTTTTCTTAAATTTATTTCAAAGGGATTTTTTTTTTTAATGCTTCCTATTACCAGAAAAAGCTATTATGTCAAGGTATTATATAAATTATATATTTAGGATGTTGGCTTTTATAAAACCTAAATTGCCCCTTAATTTCTCATTTTGTAACTAGCACTATAATTTTTATGTAGTACTTTCCCTCCGATATGGTAGCATGAAGATACTGTATATTGCTAGTATATATTCATTAATTGAACTTCATCTCTATCTAAAAAATTAAAGCAATTAACTGATTCTTTAAGCTTCCGGAAAGTCTGAATTATTTATTTTATATAACGATGCATTTATACTTCTAATATTTTATAGTCTTTTCATTGGAACTACTAGCCTGCTGATTATAATAATAAGCAGTTTAATAGCATAGGTGATTCTAAAATTTTGTAAACTGGGTACTATTAAATCGCATTTAAAGGTGACGAGACATGTTTTATTAGGTCATTAAGGTACACCTTGGGTGAATATAGAATCATAATTTGACTTCCTAAGGCACACATTAATTAACAAATAAAACACGCCCTGGAGTGTCGTCTTATGACTGTAAGATAGCTGCTATATTTTGAGTAGTTTTTTTATTTGTATCCCGCAGTGTACTCTGGGCACAGGGGGCCACATGCTCGGACTATAATGTAGTTATACGGTGCTACAGAACTTTATTTTCCGCTTTTATCATTTAAGTCCTTTTTCACTATAGAACTTGAAAGATTGGGTTCGCTAGCTTTGTAGCAGTATTTCTTTTAGAAATAACTTGGATTTATAGTTTTCACAGAATTTTTTTGTATAACTTTCACTTTTCTTCCTGGCCCTTTAGTTTAATATTTTCCTGTATCTTGCAATTGTATTCCTTTTTTATTGAATTACCTGAGTAATAAGAGACATTTCCTTCTTTACTGTTTAATAAACTGTTCCTGAGGAACTAGATATATTGCTTTGTGTACCTATTTAGAGCTGTGAGTGTTCTGCTAAAGGTAAATTACAGTGAAGTGTCTAAATAGTACTGTTAAATTAGCAATTACAATAAATTAGTTTATAAAACTCTTTCCTACGTACCATTATCCTTTCAAAAAAGCTATAAAGGTTGGTTTTTTTTGTTTGTTTGTTTTTTGTTTTTTTCCGGCTAGTCAGATGAAGCAGTGCGAGTAGAGAAGGAGCAAAGTAATCTATACTTGGTTGTGATCAATTAGTTGTAAACACCACTGCACTCTGACCAGCCTGTAGTTTTTTCCATCACTGCAGTGTATCAGATACTGGCATATTGTTACTGCTTATGAAATAGCACATTTCGTTAACATTCTGTGTGGTTTTTGGAATCTTAAGGCATTTACACATTTAAATTTTACAAAGTGATGACACTGATTTGGGCAGTAATTCTTAGTCATGTTTGGTGGGTTCTTTTCTAACTTAACTCTTCTTTCCATGTGTAGGATTGTGGATAATATGCCTGTAACATGGTGTTACGATGTTGAAGATGGTCAGAGGTTCTGTAATCCTGGATTTCCTATTGGCTGTTACATTACAGATAAAGGCCATGCAAAAGATGCCTGTGTTATTAATGTAAGTTCATGATAAACTCTGCTGCTTTTTAAAACATGGCTTTTGACAGAATTCAGTCTTTACCTGGACAAAAATTGTTATATTCGTTTAATGAGTACAGTTCAGATGTTCTGAAGTACAACTACTTCAATCTTAAACTTACAGCAGATTAATAATGTGTAAGTTGAGCCTTAGAATTGGAATAATTCAGATTCAGTTCAGCGTTTACTGAGAGTGTCTGTTGTATGTTAAGTGCTATGGTAAGGTCTAGAACTTTGTTCTAACTCTCATAAATCTTATATATTACAAAATGTACATAGTAGAGTGTCAAAAAAGACTTCATTATAAGTTAACTAAATTTGTATTGCAGAAGTCAGATATTATACCCTTTTTAAGACCTATCTGTCTTTGAGGCCATTCTTTTATATTTAAAAATAGATTAATCAAATAGAGACATTACTATAGAAGGTAATTAGAACTAGATGGGGACATATGTTAAAATAAATTTTGTGTAATCAGATCAACCTGATTTAAATCTCTTAATGGATCAGATCCAGTGGAAGTTAGCATGAGCTTAATCATGAAACTGATTATATCAGTTAGGGCTTTTGTGTTGTGCGCTCACAAAAGACCAGAGATACTTGCGTAATTTAGGTTATGAGTTTAGTCCAAACTTACAAGCTTCCAGGCAGGAAAAGTGTTTAAATGTATACGCTTTAGTGTGCTCGGAATATTTTAAATTTTATTTTGTTTCATTTTAAATGAAAGGCTAGAAAATACTAGATTAGTGTTCTTTTGAATTGATACTTACTAAATTTTCTGTTAAAAAAAACTGTAAGAAGCAGATACCTTCCCCAATTAATTTTTGGCTTAAAAAGAGTTTAAGTATAAAATTGAAACATGTTAATATGAAAGGATTAAAATTCCATTCAAACTTAAATTTTCTTGTTGTAGCCCATTTTAAAGTTTTATGTTTTGACTCTTATGTAGTTTTCTACCTTTAACTTTTAAGTTCTCTTCCGCAGTCAGAATTCCATGAAAGAGATACATTTTACGTCTTCAACCATGTTGACATCAAAATATACTATCATGTTGTTGAAACTGGGTCCATGGGAGCAAGATTAGTGGCTGCTAAACTTGAACCAAAAAGGTAATTATATTAATGATAAAAAGTAAACAAGTATAAGTGAAATTTAGACCCAAAGTATAAGTATTTGGGGCCCAATTACTCCTAAATATTCTGGCATTTCAGGATTGATTTGGCATGATTTGTTACTGAGTTATGGGTTGTCCAGAGAAACCGTACCAATAGTTCTTTTCCTGTCATGACAAGCAGTCAAGCCAAGGTGCCTTTGTGTTTTGTTTTCAATCAGGAGGTTTTGACAGCTTTTCCACGTGTCAGTGGGGAAGGAGAAGTTGAGTGGTTGGGACAGTGTTCCCCTTCATAGTGGAAAGAACACTGCCTCAGATATCTGCAGCTCTCCTCTGGTCAGAGGCCCAAATGAGTGGACACGTACTGTGATTTCTCAAGCCCCTATTCAGTGTTAGATGCCAGTATGAAATACTAGCCATTGAAAGACAGCTCTTCAACTTGTTTGTTATTTTTTATCAGAAACGTACATATCAGTTATTTATGAGATTTTTTTTTTAAGTATTTCATTTTTTTCATTACTTTTTCTGCCATTGAATTAACCTTTTTCTTATGCACTGGTGGTAAAGAAATACATGCCATAATAAGATGGCAGTTAAACTCCGTCAGTATATATTTTTTTAATAAGATTATTTAGCCAGGCACAGTGGCTCACACCTGTAATCTCAACACTTTGGGGAAGCCAAAGCAGGAGGATCACTTGAGGCCAGGAGTTTAAGACCAGGCTAGGCAACACAGTGAGACCGTGTCTCTACCGAAAATAAATTAGCTGGGCATGGTGGCCTGTGCATGTAGGAGGCTGAAGTGGGAGGATCACTTGAGCCCAGGAGTTCAAGACCAGCCTGGGCAACATAGTGAGACCCTGTCTCTACAGAAAATTAAAAAATTAGCTGGGCACTGTGGCCCATGCCTGTAGGAGGCTGAAGTAGGAGGATCACTTGAACCCAGGAGTTTAAAGCTGCAATGAGCCGAGATCACACCACTGCACACCAGCCTGGGAAACAGAGCAGCAAGACCTTGTCTCAAAAAAAAAAAAAAAAAAAAGGCCAGGCATGGTGGCTCATGCTGTAATCCCAGCACTTTGAGAGGCTAAGGCAGGAGGATTGCTTGAGCCCAGGAGTTCAAGACCAGCCTGGGCAACATAGCAAGACCTTGTCTCTACAAAAAATGAAAAATTAGCTGGGCATGGGGTGTGGTGGCACACACCTGTAGTCCCATCTACGTGGGAGACTGAGGTGGGAGGATCCCTTGAGCCCAGGAGTTTGAGGCTGCATTGAACTGTGATGGCACCACCGCACTCAGGCCTGGGTAAGAGAGCAAGACCCTGTCCCCCCCAAAAAGATTTAAAAAGATTATTTAAATGCTCTTCAAGTATAGTGTTTTCAAAAGTATGTTTATAATTTTGTACACATATTTATATGAAGTAGATATTTATGCTATTAAATATGACATGAATAATTTCACCTTTGTCAGCAGCATTTTAAAATACGTACAAAATCTCTAACCTTTCTTTACCTTATTTAAAAAAAATTGTACTTTATCAGCATCTTGCCAAAATGTTTCTTCCCACAGCTTCAAACATACCCATATAGATAAACCAGACTGCTCAGGGCCCCCCATGGACATAAGTAACAAGGCTTCTGGGGAGATAAAAATTGCCTATACTTACTCTGTTAGCTTCAAGGTAAGTCTGTTGTTATCTTTAGTATAATTCTGAAACTGATTTTAAATTTGTACTACTTAAACTAATTAAAATGTTACTGTTTATGCTTGTCAAATAACGAAGCTATGAATGAGCTGATTTTTAGGATAGTTTGTCAGTGTACCAAGCAACATAATCACTCTTGAAACTAAGTCTTAGTTTAAATGAGAATACAGAGGAAGTTGGAGACTTGAGCCTGATTTAGTGTTAAGCATAAGAGATACATATAAGACAAAAGTCAAAAATAGGCCTGGAGGACGGGATGGAAATGCCAGAGATATATTCAGAAACCTTTTGGGAAATCAACACCATGCTTTAAAGGATTTAAATATGAACTTTAAATGGAGAGCTTCCGATTGGTAGATCGTCTTAGAAAATTGAAGGGAATGTTTTCATTAACGAAGTTTCTTAAAATGCAAATTCATTTTTATGGGAATCTTAGTATTCTACTTCTATTTTTTCACCATTTTTAAAATCAGGATTTAAGTATGAACTTTAAATGAAGAGTTTCCAATTGGGAAATTGTCTTAGAAAATTGAAGGGAGTATTTTTATTAACGAAGTTTCTTAAAATGCAGGTTTACTTAGGCAGTGTTCCACCTCTATTTTTTAAAACTTTTGGCAATCCAATATAGTTGTGATGTTTAATATCCCCGTATAATGTTTCATTTTGCAAACCTGGCACAGTAAACAGTATACATTTCTAGATACTAAGAGCTCAGTGTGCCTGGGAAGGCTGGTCTAGTTAGCTTCCCCTGGCATAAAGAAAGAATAATTATTCCTTTCCATTCCGTTATTATCTTAAAAAAAAATACATATAGCTCTAAATGTAATCATCTAAACATCTAGTTATAATTTAAAGCAATACTTTTAGTGGGTATTACTAGGAATTCTTTTTTTTTTTTTTGGCTGCATAATCTTACTCTCATTTCCCTAGACTTTAGTAAATCTGAAACCCTCTGAATCTCAGGACTAACCAAAGTTATGATAATTTAGAAATTGCAATTGTTGACTCAATGGAAGGGCAAGCTTTGAATGGGATTTTTTTTGTTCTTAATGTGTTGTCAGCAGATGTTTACTTAAAGAGATTTTTTAATCTCCTCTAGGAAGATGATAAGATCAGATGGGCATCTAGATGGGACTATATTCTGGAGTCTATGCCTCATACCCACATTCAGTGGTTTAGGTAAGAGTACAGAGTTAGCCTGCTTTTGCTTTCTACTTTTCTACCCTCTGTCCCTTTGAACATCTCATTTACTCTCAAATCCTCTCTACTTTATTCAAAAGTCTGGCCTTGGGTTCAAATCCTGGCTCTCAGCCACTGATTGTGAGTCACGGCAGGTCCCTTAATTTCTCAGCGTGTGTTTCTTTATCTAGAAATACCCACCTCATGGGATTGTTGTGAGGATTAAAGGACATAATGGGACAGAGCATTTGAGGACATTGCCTGGCACATTAAGAGTGTTCAGAAACAGAAGCTGCTGCTGTTGCTATGACTTTATTATTATCCCCTTCAAACATGATTCAAAACTTTTATCTAGAAAGCTGTTCATGTTGCCATAACCCTCCTTTTCCTATTGCTGTCTGATCTTTTTGACACTCACTAATTTACTGAGTAAAGTTGTTCTTCAGTAAATTTCTTAAGGGCACAAACCAGTCCTTTGTTATGGCAGTGATTTGGGCACAGTAGTTATTTCATAATATTGACCATGTACCAAAAAATTCTAGTTCAAAACAGACTATGAAATGGTATTATGATAAGTATATAATGTTATTTATCTACTAGAGGGAAACATGAAAGAACACAGTTCATTGAATTTGTTGGATTTTAGGTAGCTTTCGTTTTGATTTTGATTAAGACTACTTTAATGTTACTCAGTAGACAGTTTTTTTTAAAAGAGTTTTACTGTTCCTAAGATTAAGCTACAGATTACTCATAATGTGCTTATTTCTACAGCATTATGAATTCCCTGGTCATTGTCCTCTTCTTATCTGGAATGGTAGCTATGATTATGTTACGGACACTGCACAAAGATATTGCCAGATATAATCAGATGGACTCTACGGTAAGTGGAAACATTTTAGTCTTTAGTGTGCCCACAACACTGTTTATTGTTTTTTTGCGAAAAGGTAAAATAATAGCTTTAGAATCTGCTTTTAAAACATTCTTCTACCAAAAAAAAAAAAACCCAGAAACAAAAAAGAAATTCTTCTCAAAAGTTATCTTGAATTCACATTTTCAAATAAGAAAGCGATACTTAACAATTAATATTCTTGGCCGGGCGCAGTGGCTCACGCTTGTAATCCCAGCACTTTGGGAGGCTGAAGTGGGCAGATCACCTGAGGTCAGGAGTTCAAGACCAGCCTGGCCAACATGGCAAAACCCCATCTCTACTAAAAACACAAAAATTAGCCAGGTATGATGGCGGGTACCTGTAGTCCCAACTACTCGGGAGGCTGAGGCAGGAGAATTGCTTGAACCCGGGAGGCGGAGGCTGCAGTGAGCAGAGATCGTACTCTAGCCTGGGTGACAGGGCGAGACTCTGTCTCAAAAAAAAAAAAGAATTGATCCTCTAGAAATGGAGTCAGCACAGCCTTGGGAACGGACCTGCTCACAGCCTCCTCTGTGGGAATGGACTGGTGCAGCGGGGGGTGTAGGTGCAGTTACAACTCTGTAAGGTTTCTCTATCCCTCACACATACCCATTTGTGAAACCACAAAGTTGAATGGAATAACTCCTAAGCAACTTCTATTTGTGTGGTGGTTTAATTTTTTAAAGTTAATTTTAACAGATTTGTATCATTTCAACTTTTTGGTATATTCAAAATAATTGCATGTCCCAGCCTCTTTAATCTCAAACTTTTTAAGTTGCACAATGTTACACATTTTCTACTCTTCATTTCATGGCAGCATAATAAAAGAATTTTCACAAGAATCACAGTAATTTGGAATGAATGCAAAAAACTCAGGTTTTTATGTATTCTCTTCCCCTAGCTTCTTCAGCCTCCTTTCCCCCAACCTCTCTGACCTATTCTTATTGGGGAAAATATATATGAATATTTATAAGCTTTTTAACATTTGTACTCTACAGTCTCTTTCCTATGATTTTTATTGATTTTATGTCTTATTAAATATTAAAGTGATTTAAAAATACTCTGCTCATAATTGGCTGTTCCAAATAATTGCTGTTAATGGAGTTTTGTCTTAATTTGCACAGCGTCGCCATGTGGAACCGGGCTGCTGGTGACCCTGCTTCCACTCCTGTCCTACTTCCCATCTCTTAGCACAGCAGTCAGAGTAAAACTGCTCAAACGGAAATCAGATCATTTCACTCCTGAGCACAGCCCTCCAGGGACTTCTCTTCACGCAGAGCAAGAGTCAGAGGCTTTACAGTGGCCTGTAAGGCCCCACATTACCTCAGCACTCTGCTGCACCTGTGCCAGCTATCTTGCTGTTCCTCAGACTGGGCAGACACAGGTTCCCACCTCAGAGCCTTCACGCTCACTGTTCTATCTGCTAAGAATGTCTGCCCCTCATTTACATGGGTAGTTCCCTTACCTGCCTCCGATCTTTACAAAATGTGATCTTCCCATTGAGCCCCTCCCAGCCATCGCGTTTAAGTTACATTCTGTCCTGCACACACCCATACATCCTGTTTTTCTGTATAGCGCTTATTGCCGTCTAATGTACAGTGTACTTTCCTGACTTATTTTGTTTATTGTCTGCCTTCCTAATGAGATCATGTACTCCTGAGAGTAGGAATTTTTCTGTTACACTCACTGTGGTATCTGATGTTTTAAACAGAGCCAAGCTTATAGTTGGTGCTCAATGAATATTTCTTGAATGAATGAATGAATGAATGAGTCACTTCTTGATGTACGACTTACTGATGCATTGCTGGGTTCATGATAGGGAACAAGTATTCAAGGACTCCTCCTGCTCCAACCCACTGCCCAAAACCAGGAGCCAAGGCCAGAGCAGGAAACATTGCACGCCTGAGAGGTGCACTGACCCTGTGGGTCAGGGTTGTTTTCGAGTCTTTAACCGTTTGGAAGGCTGTCTGGTGGGTCATTTGCAAGGAGCTGAACCTCAGGCTCCTGGATTAAGCCTGCATTCTGAAAGGGGGGCCAATTGGTTCTAGGTTAGTGAGAGCCTCTGATTCTGGGCAGAATCAAGTAGAAAACCTCTGGAAAAAAAAAGTGTCCCACATTTAGATTCACAGGATTCTTCTAATTTAAGGTCAATAAAATATGAGCTACTAGTTGGAAATTCACAAAATTTACAGTAAAGGACAGATTTAGACCTCTAGAGATTCCAGATACTGGAACTCTTCATTGCAAATAAAATATATGAAAAAGTAACAGCTCAGAATTTCTCAGAATAGATGAAAAGTAAAAATCCATAGATATAGGAAACACAGTGTATCCTAAGCAAATAAATAAAAAGAAATCCACATCTAGATCAATTGTGACAAAACTATAGAACCTTAGAGAAAGGAGAATATCTTAGAGTCAGTTCAAGGGAAAAAAGACTCAGCATCTACAGAGGAAAAAACAGTTAGATTGACAATGGAAACCCCAAGACTAAATATCATTAAATTGGCGAGAGTAATTACCTATTTACATAGAATTGTATACACAGAGAAGTCATCTTTCAAAAATGAAGATGAGGCCAAGGTGAGAGAATCACTTGAGCACAGGAGTTCAAGACCAGCCTGGGCAATATAGGGAGACCCCATCTCTACAAAAACAAATTAAAAAATTAAAAATTCACTGGGCATGGTGGCTCACGCCTGTGGTTCTAACTACTTGTGAGACTAAGATGGAAGGATCACTTGGGTTCAGGAGGTCAAGGATACAGTGAGCTATGATTGCACCACTACACTCCAGCCTGGGCAACAGAGACCCTGTCTCAAAAAAAAAAAAAAAAAAAAAAAAGAAGAATGAAGGTGAGGTGTTTATCTTTTACAGATGAACAGAAACAGTTGACAATAAGCTGACCTTCATGGAAAGAATTTATAGAAAGCTTGAGCAAATAATAAATAAATGAAGTGAATCCTAAAGGGAGATTTAGAAGGATTGGTGAAAAAGAAATTCCAAGTAAACATTTTCTGTGTATAATGAGTCTAAATGTAGAGATTAACAAATATATATCAACAGGAGAAAAACAGATGCTTTACTGAATGGTATTGGGGATAAAGTGGGTGGATACCTGGGGGAAAAAACGTAAATTCTAACTTTATTACCTAAAATAATGATTTACATGAAAATGAATCTATAAAACACTAGAAGAACATATAGAAAGTTATGTTTAAATCTTAGAGAACGGTAGAATTTTATGAGTATCACAGAGAGACAAAAGCCATAAAAGAAATTATTGCTCTGTGATTATTGTTTGTTCACCTGGTACGTTGGCAGAAATTTAAATGTTTGATGTAAGTCTGTGTTGGGGGACTGAGGACATGAGCACTTTGATACATAATGTATGAGGATGTAAAGAGACATAACCTTTGGAGAACAATTTGACAGTACCTGTCTTAGTTTATAATATAAATTGACCCAACAATTTCATTTCTAGAAATTAATGAATGCAGAAGATTTAATTTTTTTAACAATAAGCATATGATTTTTTATAAATAGCAGAAGAATATAAACAACCCAAATACCTGTCAATAGGGGACTAATTTTAGAAATTATAGAACATCCATATAGTAGAATACTATATAATTACCAAAAAGAATGAGGTAACCATATATACAAAGAGGAGACGCACCTTCATGATGTTGTTAGACTAAAAAAGCAAGATAGGAAAAATGTGTATAATACGCAACCATTTTTGTAAAAAAAAAAATCTATTCATACATTTTTTTATATATGGGTAGAATATCACTGCGAGAATAACAAGAACCTAGTCCCATTGGTTTGCGGCAGAACAGGGGGCCTTGCTCCCTGGGGGAAACTTAGTTTTCAGTTACACCTTTTGATATTTTTAGTGCCTACTTAATAAAAAGTGATCAGAAAATGGCCCCTCTTAATACTACCCCACCTAAAAGAAGAGATGCATGTACTTTTCCTCCCCTACTTTTTAAATAGACATTCTCAAAAGTAAGGAGATTAGTGTACCCACACCCTAGTCCAACACTTAATCAACTCAGGTTCAATCTTGTTTCCATCTATGGAATTCCACTTATGCCCACCAGGTTTTTTGAAGCCAATCCCAGATATAGTTTTAATTCACTTAGCGCCTGCATGTACATTCCTTGTAAATGACCAAGTGGAGTCTAATTCCCAAGTGTAGGAAAGTATTTTGTACCAAGGGGAGGAAAATATTTAGATTTTTACTCTTGCCTTAAAAGTTAGACATTTTATTTATTTATTTATATTTTATTTTCTTTTTTTTTTTGAGACAGGGTCTCACTCTATCATCGAGACTGGGGTGCAGTGGTGCAGTCTTGGTTCACTGCAACCTCCGTCTCCCAGGCTCAAGCGATTCTCCTGCCTCAACCTTCTGAGCAGCTGGGATTACAGGCACGCGCCACTATCGCCCAGCTGGTTTTTGTATTTTTAATAGAGACAGAGTTTCATCATGTTGGCCAGGAGGCTGATCTCAAACTCCTGACCTCAAATGATCCACCTGCCCTGGCCTTCCAAAGTGCTGGGATTATAATCTAGGCATGAGCCACAGCACCTGGCCTCGACATTTTAAAAGCAGGATTAATGCCTCTGTATAATTTTCCACATTTCAAATTTCAGCTGATTTATAGTTACTTTAAAAAATGTAAATTTAATATATTAGTAATAGCATTGTCTACTGCTTGGAAAGATAGTCGTTTGAATGGGGAATCGAGGAGGGATGCCGATTACCCTTGAGGAATGTTGACAGAGGAAGCTGAACAAGCAAGCAAGGGCCAGATTCCAGTGGTCTTGTAAGCTGTACAGTTTGAAGGTCATTGAGAAGCTGTTGAATAATTTTAAATTGCAGTGACATGGCCAGATGTGTGTTTTAAGAAAATTACTTTGAATATTATGTTGAGAATCATCCAGTGCAGGGCAAAATTGGAGGTTTAAAGACCAGTCAGGAGGCTGTTACAGAATTCCCAGAGACCGAGGATGGTGGCAGGGAGGAAGGAGGTGAGTGGACAGATAAATATGGAGGATGTTTGGGAGATAGAGTGGAGCTGATTGACTGGCTGGCAGTGGAGAGTGTAGAAGCTGAAGAAAAGTCAGTGAATGACCCCAGGTTTCTGGTTCAAACCACCAGAATGGTCCCTCTGGCTGCTGTATTGAGGATCAACTGAATGGTGGCAAGCACAGGAACAGACAGGTTTAGCGTATAATCAGTAGTCAGATAAGATGGGATGACTTGAACCAGTAGGGTGGTGGCATCCTGTGGATATATTTTGGTGGTAGAACCATGGCTTTTGTTAAAAGGTTGTGTGCAAGGTAGGGAAAGAAGGGAAGAATCATGGATGACTCCAGGGTCTGGGGGACTAAGCAGCTGGAAGGTTGGAGTTTTAATCTACTGAAGGAGTCTACAGGAAGAGCAGATTTAGATGGGGGAAAGAGAATCGAGAATCTGTTCAGTTGTGGATAATTCTGTTCAAGATGTATATTAAACAACCAAGTGAAGCTGTTGAGTAGGTACTTGTGTATGTGTCTGGAGATCAGGGCTGCAGTTTGGGCTGGTGACACACTTATTAATATGTTTACAGCCATGCTTACTGTGTTAGCAAAGTAGCTAGAATATGAGAGCTAATGCCATTTTCTTATTGTGGAGATTATTAAGAGTAGGATGAAGAGGATAGAATGTGACTAAAAATCGTCAAGTCAGATCACAAAGCTTGACTTAGAGTAGAACTAGGTAGCAAACACATTGTCTTTGTAAAGTTTCTCAATAAGTATATTTGTAGACCTTAATGTCAAAAATTCAAGAAACTGACATATAAGTTCAGCAAAGCCATATTAAGCTCCATGAGTCAACCTGTATTCTTCAAAATTGAAATAGATACCAACATTTTAAAAATAAGTTTTAAAAAACCTTTTTTCTGTAACAGCATATTCAACAGTGAACAAACTGTCTATAGTTATCTTGTTGGTACCATAAGACAATTGAACTGATTTCATTCCCCTTTTAGGAAGATGCCCAGGAAGAATTTGGCTGGAAACTTGTTCATGGTGATATATTCCGTCCTCCAAGAAAAGGGATGCTGCTATCAGTCTTTCTAGGATCTGGGACACAGATTTTAATTATGACCTTTGTGACTCTATGTAAGTGTTAACTGAAGTTTTTCTGGCCGGGTGCGTAGTTCATGCCTGTAACCCCAGCACTTTGGGAGGCCAAGGCGGGTGGATGACAAGGTCAGGAGTTCGAGACCACCCTGGCCAATATAGTGAAACCCCGTCTCTACTAAAAATACAAAAAAAATTAGCTGGGCATGGTGGCAGGCGCCTGTAATCCCAGCTACGTGAGGGGCTGAGGCAGGAGAGTCGCTTGAACTTGGGAGGCGGAGGTTGCAGTGAACTGAGATTGCGCCACTGCACTCCAGCCCGGGTGACAGTGCAAGACTCCATCTCAAAAAAAAAAAAAGAAAAAGAAAAAAAAAACCCACAGGTTTTCTAAGTGGGTAGGTAAGCCAGATTATTTCTGAGAGTCCTTTAGGTTCTCAAAATCTAAGTGACTTGGGGCAGGGTTAGCTGCACCCAAAGACTGACTCTTGGTTTCTCCCTTCAGCTCTTCCTAGACCAAACCTTTGTCAGGAAAGCACTGGACTGGAGATGAACAGGTCCTTAAGACCATCAGCATCTGAGTCTAAACAGCCCAGAACCAGGACCATTTAGGGTCTCTTTTACCCAGCCATCGTGGGCAGGCACAGTCTGGTTAGGGTTCCAGGATATTCTTGGTTTCTACAAAAGGAGGAGGGTGGGAAAAGAGGGGATGGGGAAGGAAGCACTGTGTAGACCCTTCTCACCTGGAGAGGATTTAGGAAGCAGGATCTCCTTCTGTAGAGAAAGCGAGTGTGTAGAAAAGACCTTCCTTCCTCCATAAAAAGAGTATTTTTGAGCTACCTCAGCAACTTCAGAAATTGTATTTAAATTTTTGCCAACTAGGACAATCCTCTTTTTTTTTTTTTTTTAAATAGATGTTCCTTAGAGGTATTGATAGCCCCAGGGGTTGTTCTGAAACTACCTCTGTGTAGTTTCCACTGTCTTCCGGTTTTCTTAATTGGAAGAGAAAAAATGTTTATGAATAGAATTTTCTAAATTTTACCTTTTTTAATGTATTTTACTTTATTAATGCCTACTACTGATAAATAGCAACAAATGAATATACTGGGAGAATTCATAAACCTTTAATAATTTTTTAGTAAACGTTTATTTTTTATGTTTGGTTACATATTAAATACATAATACTATAGTGGGTTTTGTTAGTAAAGGTTTTCCAAATTTTTATGATAAAATTATTTATATAAATGCTTTGCAAAGAGCAGTATCATTTCCAAATGTCTGGCACTGAATAAGTTTGGGAACCACTGACTCACACCTTCAGGCTTAATTTGAAGACTGACTAGAACATCTCTTTTTTTAATCTAACAACTTAAGGAGATACAACTTTGATAGGTAGAGCTAGAATTTGTAACTATGTCATACTAAAAAGAAGTAAGTCATTCTAAAGAGGATAGGTCAGGAAAAGGTCATAAAAAAGGTTTGGACAGAGGGTGGGGTGAAGTCACTGGATGACAGAGAGCCAAACTAGACTTAGAGCAGAATGAATACTTGAAGATAAACTTCCGCTTTCTTTCTTTTTTTTTTTTTTTTTTTTGAGACAGAACCTCGCTCTGTCACCAGGCTGGAGTGCAGTGGCACGATCTTGGCTCACTGCAATCTCCGCCTCCCTGGTTCAAGCAATTCTCCTGCCTCAGCCTCTGAGTAGCTGGGATTATAGGCACTTGCCACCACACCTGCTGATTTTTGTATTTTTAGTAGAGACAGGGTTTCACCATGTTGGCCAGTATGGTCTCCATCTCTCAACCTCGTGATCCACCCGGCTCGGCCTCCCAAAGTGCTGGGGTTACAGGTGTGAGCCACCACACCCGGCCAACTTCTGCTTTCAAATCTTATTAGGAGCTGCCTTCTGTGACGCTCTGGTCTTTATTGGGGTCAGCTAGAAAAATGAACTTTTAAGGAAGGAAAGTTTCAGAGAATCTTGGATAGAATACGATGGGAATCATTTTCCTTGAGTCCTCAAATAGGAACTTTCTGCTGAAGGGCAGTCCATTTTTCAGGTAGGGGAGGAGAAAGGGGTTGCATCTTAACTGAAATCCTGGTACATCTTCTAAAGCTACCCTGATGTGTTTCCTGCTGATCATGACTCTGGTGCTCATCAGAGGTGTGTGTGCATGCTTACTCACATAGGTGCTTGGTCATGTGTGTTTTGGGGGAAACAATGGGGATTTTCTTGCTGCTGGGTTTAGAAAGCCACCTGAAACTCTTCTCGGCAGTATCCTACTTGCCTTGGGATTCTGAGCACCTTATAACTTCTGAGCCCCAGCTTAAAGCTGGGAATTTCTATGAATATAATGTAGCGTTTTAATTCTCGCTGGTAGGAAGGCTTATATGGGGAAGAGCAAACTAAGCTAACCACATGAATAAGGTAGGGCCAGGGTTTCCCCGCATTGCTGACCAGGTCCTGCAGTAATTTGTGAAAAGCTAATGGCCCTATGAAATCTTTCTCCCTCATTTTGTTCTTTGATTAGGTTCTGTATGTCTCTTATGTTTGAATGTTGTAAGGTTTTGGGGTTGTTTTTTTTTTTTTAACCCCCAGAGGACCCCTATATTTTTAATGAAAGAAAAGTGGGAATATTTCATAGTGGAAACATTTTCATTTATGTTAATTTTAAAGGCTGTACTTGAATCTCAGAAGAGCCAAATGCACTGTTGAGCATCCAGTCTGATCACAGGAAGGATGAGGTCTTCTAGACTCCCACAAGAAACTTCCGAAGTGAAGTTTGCCTCATCTGTGATCAGATTGGTGCAGTACATTAAATATTACTAAAATTGAGTAGAGCTGCGTGGTAGGAGAGCACATGGTTTTTCATGAAGTTGTATTTTTTTCTTGTTTGAAAAATGACAGGGTTTCTCTATCATTTCACAGCAAAGGAAACAGTAATAACTTGTACAACCTTTCATGATTTGTGTTTTAGTTTTCGCTTGCCTGGGATTTTTGTCACCTGCCAACCGAGGAGCGCTGATGACGTGTGCTGTGGTCCTGTGGGTGCTGCTGGGCACCCCTGCAGGCTATGTTGCTGCCAGATTCTATAAGTGTAAGTCAAAGCCACCGTGACTGGCGTCTGATCAGGAAGGGACTCTGCCGCAGCTATGGGTCTGACCTGGGTATCAGATGGTGATGCTCTGAAAATAGTGTGCCTCACAGGGGTTCTTAGTTACAATGAGCCTCCTTGGTGATTCCTTTTGTGACATGAGTGACTATCCCAAGATTTATTTGTTCGAAAATGTTTGTGAAACAAGCAAATTGTGCCACTTACCCACTATCACCTCCCTCTTTTTTTCTTTGAGCTTTGGCTTAACAGGTTGGGCTGAACTTAGATATGCTGTGTTCATAAACGCACATATAGACTAATAAAGGAGAAAAGTATACAAATGAGTATCACTGATTTTTTTCACTAAAACAAGTAGTATATCTAGGTGTACCTTTTCTTACATATGAGAAGTCGTACTTACATTGTATCAATTTAATATTTATAAAAATAAACAGTTTCAAGTAAACAAAGATCTCACTATTTTGGAGAGCTGGAAAGTTACTTTTGTAATTGCATTAGTCACAATCTCTTGTGTTCTTCCTTTCTAGAAGTAAAATAAAGTTCAATGAAGTAAAAAAGGGTCAGGGCCACAGAGTAAGGCTGAGATGGGACTGGATGGCTTAGAAAGCAACTGACAGGGTCGGCAGGGACCAGAGCTGGCCTCCTCGGGAATGCCACAGTCTTGTCTGGGATATACAGTGATTCCCCACGGTCTAGCAATATGGAAAACTTTTGAGGTGAAACACAGTAGAGTTACATGGACGACCTGAAGGTGGGGTTGGGTAGTCTCAGCCCCAGGTAGAAGATTAACTTAGACCTTGTCAGACACAGTTCTCTCTTGAGTATGTAAAGCCCTGTATGTATGTGTGTTTTAAGTGTGTTTTAATTTCTGTGAATTTTATCAAGTTCTTTCTTCCCCTTTACTAAAGGAGATAGGATTAGGGTCATCATATGGATTTTAATGCATACAAAATACAGTCAGCCCTTTGCCTGCCACACCAGCCTTACTTCACGCCACACTCCCCCTTTCTCACCATTTCAGCCACACTGACTTTCTGTGGGTTCCTCGGCCAGGCTGCCTGCCTTCCCACATCCCACTCCCATCCACGCTCCTCTCACTAATGCCTCCCCATCCTTCAGGTCTCCCAGCTGCAGATCGTGTATTACCTGAATTTTGACTGGAATTGTAGTAAACCCAGAATTAATCATTTCATAACAGTCTGTTTATCAGAAACACTGTGAATTCAAATCATGATACATATATATGATTTTATGTGTATATAAAATTTCATTATTTTCTTTTAGGGGAAGTGGCACTTAAACTTGCCAATGAACTATGTTAAAACTTTTTTAAAATTCACAGCTGTTCTGAGATCTCAGCCAGTTTCATTTCTGACTTTTAAACTGGGAGCAGAGGTATACTTTCATTTTTCACTCTAGCTACTTCAGTATTTGAATTTTTTAAACTGGAAAAAACAAATTGGAGAGAGGCAAAGGAGAGTAAAACATATATTAGCAAACATGTTCTGTCAAATGGTCATAACCCTTCTACTCTTCTTAGTTGCCTCACCTGACACACGCATCTCCTAGGAACCACAGTTCCTCCTAGAAACCACAGTGCTAGAGGAAGAGTCGGCCTGCTGTGGAAATGTAAGTGTGTTGCACATCAGGCTTGACGGTTCCTAGTTTTATAACGAATTCTGAAACTGACTGCAAGATAGGTGAGAGTCCCGTGTGCCCTTCTTGTACATAGGCCCATTGATTGGTACTGGCTCAGGATTTAAGAATTCTTTTGGTTGTGAGGGGGAAAGAAGAACTGATCTTGATGACTTGCCTCTGATTCTCTAGAGCAGAACTTACCTAGGGAATCCCATGCTGTATATCTCGGATTTGGATGATTTAATAAGGGAATATCACATCATATTTGGTAGTACCATTTTCTAGGAATGAGTACTCAGTGCTATCTGATAGTTTGGCAAATATCAGACTTGTAATATGGATATTTGGTTTGCTTTAAAGAAAAATCTGTATTTATACCACTCTTGTTTTCTTCTATAGCCTTTGGAGGTGAGAAGTGGAAAACAAATGTTTTATTAACATCATTTCTTTGTCCTGGGTAAGTGAATTTTTCAAGAATTACTTTCTTAACATAGTTACATGTTAGTCCCCAAATTTTCAGTCCTTGAGTCTTTAATCCTCTGTGTCTCTAAATCATGTACCTAAGAAAGTAAAGTTAATTTTTGAAAAGGGGTAAAATAAATATAAACATTTGCCAAATGATTACCACGTGTCTTATCTGGGGAAAGTACCTTTAGACATGAGAAATGTTTTAATTCCTTCTCTTCAAAGTCTTTCTATTTCTTGGTTTTTAGTGGTCAGTCTGACATGTTGTTCTGTAGGGCTGTATTTAAAGCTTTTGACCCAGTCACGGAAGGAATCCGCACCTGCAGATAGTTCAGGCAAGCATATGTTTTCCTGTTTCTATGCAAAGCATTGCTGCTTTTTAGAGTTTATTTCATTAAATAAACGAATATACGCCAAAAATAGAAAATAAACAGCCTCCACAAATCCAAACAAAACAAAAATCCCTCACTCTCTGGAACGGCTCCTCCTCTCAGTTATCTGATGTGGTTCTGGTCCTAGAAACAGAACCCACTTCCTCCCAAGCCTGCACTTTTCTGGTGGGCGAGAACTGACATGTGAACAGGCTACAGCAATAAAGAAAGCCAAAGATGATGAAGTCTAGAAACCAGAACTGGTCCATTTGCAGGCTAGAAATGCAAGCGTGATGGCAGCAGCATTTTAATACACATTTGGGATAAATATTCTATCACCCCCACCGAAGATTCACAGTCTTCTCGGTTATAGGTTCTATTCAAATGTCTATGCTTTTCTCAAGCCATGTCCTTTGTTTTCTTTCCCTCTGTCAACTCATGAAGGTGTCCTTCTTTACCAAGACTGTGATTTCCTGCAGAATCTCCGAATCTTGCTTTTCATCTTCCATTGCCCCGTTCTCATATGTTCTGCTTAGGTGGTTCTTTTATTCTTCCAGATATGCTCATGTCTCCCCTAAAAAGGGATCATAAGCATCTTCTCCTCTTATTTCTTTCTCATTTCTTTTCTATTCCCAACAAAATGCCTTGAAAAAAATAGTCTATACTCCTTTTTTCTCATTTTCTCGGTAAACATTTGCAGTGTAAATCCACGTCATTCATATTTTTCTCCATCATTTTACTGAAACTTTTAAGTTTGCCATTTTCAAATCTAGAAACCATTTTCTCCCTGCTTCTCTGTATTGTCTAACATTGGAATACTTTCTCCTTGAAACTCCTTCCTTTTTTGGCTTCATAAAAATTTTCCTGTGCTGGTTCTTCTTTTATGTCTCTGATCAACCCTTCTCTGATTGATATTCTTCATCCTACTCTTAACAGTAGGTGTTTACCAGCAGGTAAATAGAGCGTGCTAAGAACTCAAGTATTCAGGGGCAGGGAGACTTGGTGTTCACCTAGGAATAGAAAGATCATTTAATAACAGGAAATCTAGTCATATAATTCTACATAAATAAACACCTGCATATAATTACTGCAACAGATGCAGTAAAATGGCCTTTGATAATATTGAGCATTGTTTTCAGGTTTTAAAAAAATTTAATAAAGAAATGTTTCCTTGTATTAAAAAGAATCTTATCTCTAATTCAGAACCAACATCACTGATAATAAAACATTAGGGACATTCTCAGTAAATCTCTTTCATGACTTGTTATTTAAGTTCTGTTCCTGGTAAAGGAGGAAACAAAAAGGTAGATTTCATCTTATTATTTATAGATGACATTATTTATATACAAAGAACACCAACAAATTTTAACTGTAAAACTTGTAGAATTAATAAAAAGAGTTTGGCAGAATGGCTGGGTATCAACTAATATTCCAAGATCTTAAATATCACCATTAGCCAGTTAAATGTTTTAATGGTAGTGGTAGTTGTGCTGGAAGAGGGCTGTATTCACAGAAAACCTATACAGCGCCTAAAATAACCTCTCAAAGTATGCACAATCCATATGAGAGGCCTACAAGGTTATTAACTCGAAAGAGATGGAAATTCGCCATGTTTCTTGATGAAAAGATCAAGCACCGTGAAGGTGTTTAGCGAGTCCAGTGGCTGCTGGGATGGAGAATACAGAAGTAGGCCCTGTATCCATAGCAGCTTGCTAGATGTGGCACCCTGAGCCAGAGGAACTGTTAGATAAGTGATGCTGGGACAACTGATTCTCTTCATGAAGGGAGAAAGTCGTCAGTTCTAGGTGGAGTCAAACCTAAATGCACCAGGCATAACTACTGTGTGAAAATATGGAAGAGCAGCTTCATGATCCCAGGTTAGGGAAGGCTTTCTTCTCTTAAGCAGAGTGCACAAAGGATAAAGGGGAAAGTGGTTGCACTTAAAAACTGTGTGGGGTAAGTACAGTGATTATTGTATGATTACAACCATATTTTTAAAAATGTATTCAGAAGAAAGACCTAACGGAAATTAACTACACACATTTAGATGTTTGGGTTCAGAAAAAGCCACAGACTGTGACAACAAGACATTTAACAAGGAATTAGTAAGTGGAGTATGTAAATAACTCACATACATGACTTGGCAAGACATGCAGGCCAAGTGAAAACTGAGCAGTGGATGTCAGCAGCCCGTCACAGAAGGTAAAACCAAAAAAGCCAGCAAACACCAGACACTTGCTGCAGTTTTCAATAGGAAATACAAATTAAAACAACAGAATGGACAGTTGCAAGTGTAATGAAAATATGTAAAGAACTGACTTTCATGGGCTGCTAGTAGGAGTTTAAGTCAGGCAAACCCAATCTGAAGAGCAATTGGGTAGTTTCCAGTCGGGTTTTACATTCACACATCCTGTGATGCAGCAATTCCACTTTCTTTGTATATATATTTTAGAAACATAGAAGTTGTAATATTCATTGCATACTACTGTTGCATTTTGTTATCTCTGGTTTTACCCAAAAGCCTGTTGTGTCTTTCAGGATTGTCTTTGCTGACTTCTTTATAATGAATCTGATCCTCTGGGGAGAAGGATCTTCAGCGGCTATTCCTTTTGGGACATTGGTTGCCATATTGGCCCTTTGGTTCTGCATATCTGTGCCTCTGACGTTTATTGGTGCATACTTTGGTTTTAAGAAGAATGTAAGTATATAGGTGTTAACTTAGGTGAATTTTAGCTACAGAAATTAGCATATGCCATCTCAAAAGATATCATAGAAGTGTGTAAAGATGTAAACTTGTCCTTTAGGATCTGGATTTCATAGAATATTTTAAAAATAGTAGTATTATTTAGGAGGTGGTAGAGAGGTTACAGATCTAAACTTAGGTTTCAAAGTTTTTTAAGTAAATAGAAGCTAATATAGATTAATTGGGAAAGAAATGCTAATATAAACTAATGAAAACATTCATTCATTCATTTATTTATTTATTTAGAGATGGAGTCTCATTCTGTCACCCAGGCTGGAGTGCAGTGGCACCATCTCGGCTCACTGCAACCTCCACCTCCTGGGTTAAAGTGATTTTCCTGCCTCAGCCTCCCGAGTAGCTGGGATTACAGGCATGTGCTACCACACCCAGCTAATTTTTGTATTTTTAGTAGAGACAAGGTTTCACCATGTTGGCCAGGCTGGTCTCTAACTCCTGACCTCAGGTGATCCACCTCCCTTGGCATCCCAGAATGCACAAAGCTTAACTAAGTAAGCAGAGAGGGTGGGTTAAGAAGTCACTATAAGAAAAGTGGCTGCAGAGTAAGAGTAGCAAATGTTTGTGATTGATATGTAGCTTTGAAATAAATTGTATCTGCTTGAAATAAATTGTATCTGCTTCCCTGCTAATATTGGATTTTAAGGAAGATCATAATCAGGTTTCAGTCGTTCCTCTGGTTTCTCTCTCACCCTCCAGTTGGCCTTCTCTCACTTTGCTGCCCACTTCTGCCCTCAGGCTAAAAGGGAAAAAAAATGAAATATTATTCTTCCGTCTTACCAGTATCCTTCTTTAACCACACTTCAGTATCCCTGTCCTTCTCTGAAAATATCAAGTCCACAGGGTAAAAGAAAGACTGTGTGTTTAGTACACTTTGTGAGCAGGACCCGGAAGGCCCTGGCAGAAGCTGGTGCTTGTTCCACAGCCTCCACTGCACTTTCATGCCTAGCTGCTGAAGGATTTTTTTAAACAACTTTGGCATTTTGTTTAATTTATGACTTTATACCTCAGAAGTAGTGAATTGACAGGGTTTGAATTTTTTAATTACATTGATTAAATAATTACTTGAAATTCCAAAACTTTGCTGGTTTGAAGTTTATAATATTTCTGTTTAATATCAGCGTGGGAAATAAATAAAAGTTTAAAATGTAAGTATTGGAGAATGATATACATGATTCTCTGCCTGTATACTCATGTATCTACATGTAAAATAATAATCTAGTCTGCGGAAGTATGGTCTGAATGAAAATACCAAGTTTTAAATTTTGATTTATCATCACAAAAACTATAGAAGGATATTTTTGAACTTTTTTACAAGAAAATGAATTTCTACATCTGTACTCTTTTCCCCTCTCACGTGGCTGCTTGTGTACTTCAGGTTCCAGTGATTTTCATACCACCATGTAGTGTCATGAAAGGGAGAATAGTTGAGAACATCACCAACTCCTTATGGTCGTAAAGGTTCATACAGCCATTCGTTGTTGTCTTCATGTTCTTAAGTCTTAGTAAAATTGAGCAATTTTAATAAAGATGACATTGCCCACCTCCAAATAAAAATACATTGACCAAAATTGCAGAACCAGCTGATTTCTTACAGTACATAGGTAATGAAAATGAAAAGCCTAACTCTACCTTTTTATTAACTATTATTTTCCAAGTATTCTCTTATCTCCTGTGTACTTCTTCCTGTGTCTGAAGCCGTTAGTCAGTGGATCACTGCTGGAGACAGTATTAACTTGTTCCAGTAGACAGACCGAGTACTGTACCTGATGGTACCTGGTTGATGGCTTCTAAAGACAAATTTCAATTTGATGTCTTAAGTAGACTTTATTGCCATTAGTGACAGCATGAAAGCTGGAAAAAAGCCGGCAAATAATCTTGTGCAGAGAAGAATGTTTAAGACAGATACATAATTATGAATTCTTCCTTCCTTTCTTTACTGAAGGCCATTGAACACCCAGTTCGAACCAATCAGATTCCACGTCAGATTCCTGAACAGTCGTTCTACACAAAGCCCTTGCCTGGTATTGTCATGGGAGGGATTTTGCCCTTTGGCTGCATCTTTATACAGCTTTTCTTCATTCTGAATAGTATTTGGTAAGCTAAGGACAAAGTCTTCTCATTCTTATTACCGTTGTATGTAATATTTGCTTTTTGTTTGTTTTTATGGGTTACTATTTGTATCCTATAAATGTAGACAGTTCTTCAGTAACCAGAAATCTTAAAAGCCAAAAGCTTATTTTTATCTTTTCTATGTGGGAAGAAGAACAGTAGTGGTAACAGTTAGTATAATATGAATTGAAGGCTTGTTAATTCTTACTCTTCCTTAATTCTTATTACTTCATTCTCAGAACTCTGTGAGGTGAGTGTTAGCCCCATTTTACAGAGATGTAAATGAGGCTTTGTAAGTTGAGTAATTTGCCTTGTTACACAGCAACCCTGTGACAGAGAATTCACCGAAGTTTCTCCAAACCTGTGTTCCTAACTAACCTGCACTGCTCCGGAGAAGATCCTCTGAGCACTTGTTGGAGGGGATTGATGAAGGGATTGGTCTAGATGACCTGCAGAGTCCTTTCCAATTCTCAGATGCCTTCATTCTCCGATTCCTTGTTCACATGTAAAAACTCATAATAGTCATTTTGAGCCATTCCGTGTGTGTGTATATATATAGTGTTATATCATGATTGTTAGTGGATCACACTGACATATGTTACAGAAAGTACCAAGGTTGGAGGTTACAGAAAATTAGAACTAAATTTGAGGCTTTTGGTGATTGGAACATATCTTTCCTTCTCAATTGTTATATTAATTTTCCAAATTCAACTGGTTTTATTATATGTGATAAGAAACGGTTACCTATTCTTAGTTGGCTCTGTCTTTTCAGTCAGTGTTTATCAAATATGTCTGGCTCACCAGGAGATGAGTAGACTAGCCATATGTGAACAAGTAGAAGTTTCAGGCCTCCCTGAGCAGGAAGGTAAAGTCCAGTGACACTGACATATCCTTCCTACTCCTCCCCTTCCCCACCCCATCACCATCCCAACCTGTGATAATTCGTCTTGTTCGGTTAGTTGAGAGAAAAAGCAAACCTTTTCAGTTCAAGAAGAATGAAAAGATTGTGTTATGTGCGGTGTCAAATTGAAAATATGTATAGTTTCATCTTGACGTGTTTGATTACAGGTCACACCAGATGTATTACATGTTTGGCTTCCTATTTCTGGTGTTTATCATTTTGGTTATTACCTGTTCTGAAGCAACTATACTTCTTTGCTATTTCCACCTATGTGCAGAGGTATGTATTAGCAGTATTCACTTATGTTAATTTGTAGACAGTATTTATAACTTTGGCATATTGCAATTTGTATATTGTTAAAATAATTTCTGTAGATGTATGTTTATTATGATAGACATTGACCTATATTCCTAAATCAAATGCAACCTTCTTTAGGATTAAGATATCCCGGTTCAGTGTATTTAGTTAGAGATTACTATTAGAGACTTTAACATGTTAATTTTCCAGAAATAGTAAGTTGTGCTAACTTTTCACTGTTGTTTTTTAACCAACTTAAAAATTAATACTCTTGTGATATAAATATATATATCATGCCTGAGATAAAAGAATATAAAATAATATATTAAAAACAAATTTAGACTGAACATTTAATAGAAGTAAACTAGTAAGAAAATTCATTAAAAAGTTTCTATAATCACATTATAATAAGTTCTCTTCATGGCAGCACCAAAATGATAGTATCCTTATGTAATAGTAGAGTTGAATTTTAAAGATTTAGGTTGTGTTAAATCTATTATTTAATATGTATTGTCTATATTGGAGAAAAATCTAACTTTATTAAACTTGGTATGTTATTCAAAAAATTGAGGTTAAATTTACATAACAGAAAATGAACCATTTTGAAGTGGACAGTTTAATGACACTTACAACATTTACAGTGTTGTGCTACCACCACCTCTGTTTAGTTCCAAAATATTTTTATCACCCCTAATTAAAGCCCTATACTTGCTAAGCAGTTACTCCTCATTCCTCGCTTCCCCTAGGCCTTAGCAACCAACAGTCTGCTTTCTGTCTGTTTTGCCTGTTCAGACATTTCTTATAAATTGAATCATATAATATGTGACCTTTTGTGTGTGGCTTCTTTGACTTAGCATGTTTTCAGGGTTCATCATATTGTGGTATGTATAGTAGTACTTCATTCCTTTCTTTTTTTGTTTTTTTTGAGACGGAGTCTCGCTCTGTCGCCCAGGCTGGAGTGCAGTGGCATGATCTCGGCTCACTGCAAGCTCTGCCTCCCGGGTTCACGCCATTTTCCTGCCTCACCCTCCCGAGTAGCTGGGACTACAGGCACCCGCCACTACTCCTGGCTAATTTTTTTGTATTTTTAGTAGAGACGGGGTTTCACCATGTTAGCCAGGATGGTCTGGATCTCCTGACCTTGTGATCCACCCGCCTCAGCCTCCCAAAGTGCTGGGATTACAGGTGTGAACCACCGCACTCGGCCACTTCATTCCTTTTTATGGCAGAATGATAAATTTGTTTATCCATTTGTCCATTGATGGGCATTTGTATTGTTTCTACTTTTTGGCTGTTGTGAATAGTGCTGCTGTGAACATTCATGTACAAGTGTTCATTTGCGTACCTGTTTTTGGTTTTGAGGTATATATCTAGGAGTGGAATCACTGGGTCATGTGGTAGTTCTGTTCAATTTTTTAAGGAACTACCAAACTTTTCCACAGTGGTTGTGCCATTTTACATTCCCACCAGCAATGTACAAAGGTTCTAATTCTCCACATCTTTGCCAACACTTACCTTCCATTTTTGAAAAAATTGTAGCTGTCCTCGTGGGTGTGAAGCGGTGTCTCATTCTGGTTTTGATTTGCATTTCTGCAGTGACTAATGATGAGCATTTGTACTTGTGTTTGTTAGCCATTTGTATTTCTTCTTTGGAGAAATAGCCATTCAAGTCCTTTGCCTATTTTTAAATTTGTCTTTTTGTTGAGTTGTAAGAGTTTATTTATTTATTCTGGATAGTAGATCTTTATTAGATTGTTATTTGCAGTTCTGGTTCTATAGGTTATCCTTTTCACTTTCTTGATAATGTCCTTTGCACAGAAGTTTTAAATTTTGATGAAGTCAGATTTATCTATTTTTTTTCTTCTGTTGCTTATGCTTTTGGTGTCATATCTAAGAATGATTGTCAAACGAGGGCTGAGTATGGTGGTTCACGCCTATCTGTAATCCCAACACTTTGGAAGGCTGAGGCGGGAGGATCGCTTGAGCCCAGGAGTTTGAGACCAGTCTGGGCAACATAGTGAGATCTTGTCTCTATAAAAAATAACAAAATTAGCTGGATGTGGTGGCTTACTTGGGAGGCTGAGGTGGACAGATCACTTGAGCCCAGGAGATCTAGGCTTCAGTGAGCCATGATTGCACCACTGCACTCCAGAACCGGGGTGGCAGAGTGAGACCCTGTCCCCCTCCCCCCACCAAAAAAAAAAGAATTATTGTCAAATTCGAGGTTATGAAGATTTACCCCCATATTTTCTTCTGAGATTTATAGCTTTACCTCATGTGTTTAAGTTATTGATCCATTTTGAGTTAGCTTTTGTATTTTGTGTGATGTAGTGTCCAGCTACATTATTTGACATATGGATATCCAGTTATCCAGCACCATTTGTTGAACAGGCTGTTCTTTCCTTATTTAATGGTCTTGGCAACCTTGTCAAAAATCAATTGACCATAGATGTATGGGTTTATTTCTGGACTCTCAATGCTATTCCAGTGATCTATATGCTTTCCTTAGGCCTGTACCACACTACTTTGATTACTATGGCTTTGTAGTAAGTTTTGAAATAAAAAAGACTGAGTCCTCCAGCTTTGTTCTTTTTTAAGATTGTTTTGACTATTTGGAGCCCCTTGCAATTCCATTTGAATTTGAGGATTGACTTTTCCATATCTGCAGAAATTGAATCGTTGGATTATTGGAATTGTGACAGGTATTACATTGGATCTGTAGATCATTTTGAAGAGTATTGCTGTCTTAACAATGTTTAGTCTAACAGTACATAAACACGGGATGTCTTTCCATTTGCCTAGGTCTTCTGTCATTTCTTTCAGCAGAATTTTAGAGTTTTCATTGTGCAAGTCTTCCACTTCCTTGGTTGAATTTATTCCTAGGTATTTTATTCTTTTGGGTGCTATTTTAAATGGAATTGGGTTTTTAAATTTCCTTCTCAGATTACTCATTGCTGGTGTGTAAAAACACAACCAACTTTTGTATGTTGATCTTTTACCCTGCAATTTTGCTGCATTTGTTGATTACCTGTTGCATTTATTGATTAGCTGTTGCATTTTGTGTGTGTGTGTGCGCGTGTGCATGTGTGTATTTTTAGGATTTTCTAATCTTAGTTTGCTTTTTGAATGTATTTATTTTTCACATATTCCAAAGGGCAAGAGAGATAGTGAAGTGTTCTCTTTTAAAAGATCTTCTATTAAGCTATAAGCCACTTAAAAGCAAGAAGAGCTATTTTAATCATCTGCCTTGTTTAAATTATGTTAGTAATAAGTGAAATTGGATTCCAACCAGGCCTGAATAGAATAATCTTCTTCTTAATACAGAGTTGACCAGACTTTAATATAATATTAATGTCAAACCCTGTAAGTAAGTTGTAAGCTATTTGTACATTGGTTTTCTTCAGGAAGAATAAATTTTGAAATACAACCTAATGCTTTATTATTCATAAACAGTTTAAGCTGCTTCCAAACATTTTTAGCCAGTTTTTAAGCAGTCGCACCAAAGACAATGGGCACTTCTTAGCACCTTTAGTGAGGAGAGAGGAATGGGTGAAGTTCAATAGGAGAAAGAGCCTGGAACTGATAGCAGAAATTAGATTGGGGGCTGTCTCATTTATTATGCTTGCTTTGAACCTTAGTTAACTACATCTTATCTATTAATTGGAATGTAATTCTTGTTCTTTTTTCTTTACTACCTAGGATTATCATTGGCAATGGCGTTCATTCCTTACCAGCGGCTTTACTGCAGTTTATTTCTTAATATATGCAATACATTACTTCTTTTCAAAACTGCAGATCACAGGAACAGCAAGCACAATTCTGTACTTTGGTTATACCATGATAATGGTTTTGATCTTCTTTCTTTTTACAGGTAAAATTAGAATTTAAGTGATTATTTTTATTTTGTAAGTTTTTAGACAAATAATTTATAAATGTTTATCTTTTTTAAAACTCATGAAGGCTTATTCTGTTAGTGCTCCTGTATTTAGTCCTCCTCTCAACTAGGCATAGTTTGGTCTGCCCACCTGTGAGTTGCATAAAGATGATGAAACAGAAGCCGGGAGAAGAAGGCTAAACAGGGTCATAGTTGTGGTAAAGGTTCAGGGACATGTGGGCCAGTACAGCTCATGGTTTTCCTCTGTTAACCTCTTAAAGGTACACACAGTCTTTTTTTTTTTCCCCCCTACTTCAGAAATGGGGTAGAAGCTATAGTGACTTAAGTTTAGGACTAAGTAGAAACTGAGGAGGTGAAGTCAAGATGAGACTGAGAGTAGGTCGGGGATATCAAGGAAAGATAATGGGACATTCCTTAATCTAGAAGATTTTATCTCCACTTTAAAATTCAAGCACTGAATAGGATATAGTGTGTATTATATTGGTATTAATTTTGTATGTATATATAGCTTCTCTATCTTAACTAGATAAAGGTTTTCTGTATCTCAGAGCCCAGGGTGCTTGGTAAACATTTGTGGCGTGAGTGACTGAACTTAAAAAAAGAATTATAGCACCTTTCTTTGTCACAAGTAATACTGCACAAAGTGTGCATCTGAAATTTTAGCTCATCATGCATGTTATGGAAGAAAATACAGGAGCCAAAAAGAAAAAAAAATTTTTTTTTTTCCCAATTAAACCTGTTCTGCTTTTCACTCATCTGTTGGCATGTCAGAGCCTGGAGTCGGGTTTTGAAGCGTCTGTGCTGCTGTCTCAGGTTTAAGGCACTTACATCGATTCTGTATTCCAGGTCATTGATCAGACATGGTGGGGTGCGTGTCTTGGATCTATGTGATAGATTTAGGTCCAGAGCTGTAAATTTTAATAAATCATCTATAAAGTAGCAGTAGCCAGTGAAACAAGGAATAACTATTTTTGTGCCCTGTGTGTCCATAAATGCATATAGAGAATAATTTATTCCTAGCCTACACACAAAAACTAATGATCACTATGAAAATCTGTTGTTTTTCCAGGCATATCATACAGAAAATGATAGCTTAACCATCACCTAAATTTTATTGATGTTGATTTTTTTTTTTTGAAGTGGAGTCTTGCTCTTGTCACCCAGGCTGGAGTGCAGTGGTGCAATCTCGGCTCACTGCAACCTCTGCCTCCCAGGTTCGAGTGATTCTCCTGCCTCAGTCTCCCGTGTAGCTGGGATTAGAGGTGCGTGACCACCACGCCTGGCTAATTTTTGTATTTTTAGTAGAGATAGAGTTTCACCATGTTGGCCAGGCTGGTCTCGAACCCCTGACCTCAGATGATCTGCCCACCTTGGCCTCCCAAAGTGCTTGGATTATAGGCGTGAGGCACTGCACCTGGCTAAGTTTGATTTTTAAAGTGTTACATTTTCATTCATTCAGAGTTGAGTTTTGTAATCTGAATTATGGAGCCACATCCCAATTGAACCAACCAGTTAAACCAGTGACTTATAGTGTGTTTCACTTTCTTCAATTTTATTTTTCCTTTAGTGAACAGGTGGAAGGGTTCTGGATAAGGGAGTAGTGAGCCCTTTAAATGCCTTACCTTTCTCTAAAATAGGGTATGGTCTGTATTTGCTTCAGAACTCCAAAGCAATGCCATTTTACTGTATTTATGTCAATCCATTTTACAAAACAGAAGTAATTATTCTGTCACAAAAGGAAAGAAGCCACTTTTAGTATGTACATATATTCCACATTAAGAACAAAATTGGCTGGGCGCGGTGGCTCACACCTGTAATCCCAGCACTTTGGGAGGCCAAGACAGTGCATCACGAGGTCAGGAGATTGAGACCATCCTGGAGGTGAAACCCCGTCTCTACTAAAAATACAAAAATTTAGCTGGGCATGGTGGCGGGCGCCTGTAGTCCCAGCGACTCGGGAGGCTGAGGCAGGAGAATGGCGTGAACCTGGGAGGCGGAGCTTGCAGTGAGGCGAGATCGCGCCACTGCACTCCAGCCTGGGCGACAGAGCGAGACTCCGTCTCAAAAAAAAAAGAACAAAGTTAAGTAACTAAACTTAAGTTTCTTAGAATTGCCTGGATAGTGATTAAATGTTTTTCTCATCTTAAAATATTGTTTGTCATCTTGAAATTTATGCAAGTAAGTACAAGGTTATATAAATATATTGATGTTTTCATTATTGCTTTTCTGAAATTAACCCCAATCCTAATCTGAATAATAACCCTTTGGAGTATGCAAAAGGTATATTTATATGTTCTCCAAAACACACATCAGTGCCTTGCACAAAGTAGGGCCTCAATACATATACAATGTAAGGATGGATATAATGATGTTTGTAATTTCCCACGGTAATGTCCCATGTATAGTCTCTTGATTTAGAAAATCTCCTTTAATATTGTCTCTGAGTACTGCATTTAAAACAATGGTGAAAACCATTGAGACTTTAAGTGTAAAATTTATACAAGGACTATTTATAGCACCTTATGTGTGCATGTGGAAGGAGTACTATGCTTGAAGTCAGAAAAAACGCATTTGAATTCTGGCCACAAATACCATCCATGTGACCATGAGACAGTCACTTAACCCCTTTGAACCTCATTTTTGTCTCATTGAAAGAGTGTCCCCAGGATGGGGAACATCACACACCGGGGCCTGTTGTGTGGGGGAAGGGGGAGGGATAGCATTAGGAGATATACCTAATGTAAATGACGAGTTAATGGGTGCAGCACACCAACATGGCACTTGTATACATATGTAACAAACCTGCACGTTGTGCACATGTACCCTAGAACTTAAAAGTATAATTTAAAAAATGAAAAAAAAAGAACACTTAATGATCTATTAATAAAGTTCTTGAGACAGCAAAAAAAAAAAAAAAAGAGTTTTTATCAGGAATGAATACTTCATCATCATCTGTCTTCCCAGTACTGAGATAATTATGACTATCCTCCTAGCTATTCATGATAAATATTATTAATGTATTTTATATCATAAAACCATATTTTCTGTTCTAACTCTACCTGATTTGACTGTAGAGTTTTTTTCATATATGAAAATAAACATTAGCTAATTTTGCTTAACTAAAAAAAAAAAAAAAAAAAAAAAAAAACCGTGTGTCCCCATCTAGCGTTCAAATTCTTTGGAATCTCGACTGATACCTGAAAATCAAGCCATACATTGTTTTCATGAATTATCTCATTTACTCTACATAACAGTCTATGGAGGCAATGAGGACAGACAAATTTCTCTCTAGTTAACATGGTAAATGGGCTTGGAGATGTCAGTGGACTTGCCCAAGGATGATACACACAGTTCATGACAGAGCTGCTGTGTTCTCTGCTGCCACGCTGTCTCTCATTTTCAGCTAGGATGCAGTTCTGTTATTATCCTAATCATGTCACTTTTAACATTATGTAAAAACTTACTGAGTTACTTTATTATAATTCTTTGAAGACTGATAACTTCCAATAACTGTACTTAGAAAATATCCCCATTTAATCATTATTTGAACCTGTTTTAATGTATTCATCTCATACCTTAAAAAATTCTAGTAGCATTTTCCATTTTGTTATAAAATATTCTTAAATAGGAAAGGACAGTTGACATCCTTCAGTCTTTTCTATGTAGTAAGGAAAATAATGTGTATTGTAGAAAGCTTAGGTAATCTTAGAGTAGAAAAAAATTCTATCAGTTTTTGTAAGAAACTTGATGTGGTCGTATATTTTTCAGACGTGCTCATAGATCTGTAATATATTCCTGGCGGGTAATAGTTTATAGTTTTGGGACTTTTTTAAGGAACCAGTCATTGTAAGTCTGTATTTTTGTGTAAAGTATGACACTTCCTTTGAAAAAGGGTTTATTTTTATTTTTTCTCTTATAGGAACAATTGGCTTCTTTGCATGCTTTTGGTTTGTTACCAAAATATACAGTGTGGTGAAGGTTGACTGAAGAAGTCCAGTGTGTCCAGTTAAAACAGAAATAAATTAAACTCTTCATCAACAAAGACCTGTTTTTGTGACTACCTTGAGTTTTATCAGAATTATTGGCCTAGTAATCCTTCAGAAACACCGTAATTCTAAATACACCTCTTCCCACATACCTTTCCCCCATGAGATGTGTCTTCAACACTATAAAGCATTTGTATTGTGATTTGATTAAGTATATATTCGGTTGTTCTCAATGAAGAGCAAATTTAAATATTATGTGCATTTGTAAATACAGTAGTTATAAAATTTTCCATACTTCTAATGGCAGAATAGAGGAGACCATGTTAAATAATACTGATGAAAGGCAGGACACAGGATTGTAAATAGGATTTTCTAGGCTCGGTAGGCGGAAAGAATTATTTTTCTTTGAAGGAAATGACTTTTTATCATGGTAATTTTGAAGGATGATTCCTGTGATGTGTTCACCAGGGGAATGTGGCTTTTAAAGAAAATCTTGTATTGGTTGTAACTGTTCATATCTTCTTACTTTTCTGTGTTGACTTCATTATTCCCATGGTATTGGCCTTTTAAACTATGTGCCTCTGAGTCTTTCAATTTATAAATTTGTTATCTTAATAAATATTATAAAAATGTCTTCATTGCATCATTACCTATTATATGTTCAAGGAGGTTCTGTAAATACAGATCTATTTACCAAGGGTGTTTTGAAATGATTTATACTATGTTATCAGGTTTTACTGGATTTTGTTAATGTAACACTTTCTGAGTTTGGATCTGAATGGAATTTCAGTGTTTAAGGCATTGTCTAAAATGTTCGCTGTGGGGCAGTAGAGGAGGCTGAAGTCCTGCGTATCTAGGCAGATGGATTATCCACAAGTACTTAAGGTGGGCCTTACTGCATTGTCATCAAGGAGCTTCTAGTTTTGACTTGTTTTTCAAAATACAGTATTTTAAGTCAGGTTTTATTACCTATACATTAGCAGTGACTAGCAAGTCTTCATCTTTAGGATTTCATTGTTTTAATTTAATTTCACAAACAGTTTTACTTCTAAGAGTTAAGAAATGCACTGTCTTTCACATTCATCTCATATAGGCATGTGGGGTGATTCAGAAATATCAGTCTGCTTGTATCCGTGAGCATATTCATTTGTATTTTAGGGTCTCTGCTTGCTGCTTAGGAGAGCAAATCAGATACTGTCATTAAACTTACAACTGAAATTACTAGCTGTCACTTACATGATGTTGCTGGGTTCTTACTGAATTTTTTTTTTTTTTTTTTGAGACAGAGTTTCGTTCTTGTTGCCCAAGCTGGAGTGCAATGGCGTGATCTCAGCCCACCACAACCTCTGCCTCCCGGGTTCAAGCGATTCTCCTGCCTCAGCCTCCCGAGTAGCTGGGATTACAGGCATGTGCCACCACATCTGGCTAATTTTGTATTTTTAATAGAGACGGGGTTTCTCCATGTTGGTCACACTGGTCTCGAACTCCTGATCTCAGGTGATCCGCCCGCCTTGGCCTCCCAAACTGCTGGGATTACAGGTGTGAGCCACCACACCCGGCCTTACTGAATAATTTTATGTCACTGTCCTTTTTTAAGAAAACGGACCTGTTGGTTTTGAAGAGTGAAGGAGGAGCTTTGGTCATTTTTAATATGGAGTATTTAAGATAGAAGAGTTTCTTTTCAGTTTTATTTTATGTATCTCTTGTATTTATTTTTTATGGGTGGAGTTCACCCTTAGTATTTATGGGAGATTGGTTCCAGGACCCTTTTGGTTACCAAAAATGCATGGATGCTCAAGTCCTTGGTATAAAAATGTGTGTCCAATTAGGACAAATAAATTTGCAAATAATCTGTGTACATCCTCCCATGTACTTTAATCATCTCTAGTTTCCTTACAATACCTAATACAATGTAAGTGCTCTGTAAATACTTGTTATACTCTATTTTCCATTTGTATTTTTATTGCATTCGTTTGTTAAAATTTATTTTCAAGCATTTTTGATCTGCTGTTACTGAAATCTGCATATGCAGAACCCTCAGATAAGGAAGGCCAACTGTGATTCTCTTAAGGAGCTGTTGAGATAGGCTGGTTGACTCAACAGAGAGAAGAAGGTTTTACTTTTTAAAAATTCTGATTCAGATACCAGATTAGTTTTTATTGACCAAAGTTAAGTTTCTTCAATTTTAGTTTTCCTTTAGTGAACAGTTAGCTTGGTGATTTAAAAGTCAGCTGATTGATTTGGTGTAACTTTTTCTTCTTTTTGTTTTGTTTTTTTTTTTGTGAGATGGAGTTTTGCTCTCGTTGCCCAGGCTGGAGTGCAGTGGCATGATCGGGGCTCACTGCAACCTCTGCCTTCCGGGTTCAAGTGATTCTCCTGCCTCAGCTCCCGGGGCAGCTGAGATTACAGGCACCCACCACCGCGCCCAGCTCAATTTTTGTATTTTTAGTAGAGATGAGGTTTCACCTTGTTGGCCAGGCTGGTCTCGAACTCCTGACCTCAAGTGATCCACCCCCGGAACCTCGGCCTCCTGAAGTGCTGAGATTACAGGCGTGAGCCACCGCGCCTGGCGTTTTTCTTCATGTATTTAAGTGATCGTATTTCACACGTAAACAGTGGAGAGGCAATTGGGAAAATGAAATTGGAGGGTTAAAAGAAAAGACTTAGGAGGCAGGAAAGCGGAGGAAAGAGACAGTGACAAGGAAGGCGAGCCAAGTGAGGAGGGCGGTGGAGAAAAGACGCCTCTCCAGGGCTTGGATCCCGCTGTCCTGAGGGGTGCGCTGCTGTGGCTTTCCCAGAAAGTTCTCCAGGAAAGCATCCCTCGGCATGGCAGGCGGTTAGAAGCAGCGGTCCGTCTCCTTAGTTTGAGTATATCCCAGGACAGAAACAGTTGTGTTGCGCATGTTGTGAGACCCCAGTGACCACGAATCCCGGGGAGACGTCTTCTCCATGAGTGATGATAGCCACAGGCAGCTGCGAAGGAGGGGGACGTGTAGCCAAGACCGGGAAACGAGGTTACTGCAGTGTTTTCCTGCTGGAGAAATGGCCTTCTGCCATTCCCATGCCTTCTGTCTGCCCAGGTCATTTCTAGAGACCCAGCCGTGCTGCAGGGCCGTCCTGCTCGCTAGCTAAGGGCAGCATTCTGTCTGCAACTGCCTCCTTGCCCGCCACATCAAGGCGGCCCCCCAGGCTTTCAGGCAGCACCCCAACTCCCTGGTGTCTCCCACAGTTTCTCCAACTGTGCTTTCACCTCGAGCCTAGTTACAGCCTCACCCCGCTTTCTTCCTGTCTATTCGAGAGTCTTTACTTTCCCTTCTGTGTTCAAACCTTCCCTCCATGCTTTCCATTTTAAAACACATCCAACTTTCTGCTAGATTTTTGTTTGTTTGTTTTGTTTGTTTGTTTTTAATGAAAACAACTCGTGTGACGCATTTCTCCCTCTTCTTGCCTCTCCCACCTGGCTTTGCCATCGGCTTCTTGCTTTCCGAGGATTCTGCTGGGAACCTTGTTGCCGAGCTCTCCAGCGCCCCCATCAACTGGTCCAGCCCTAATTTTACCAGCTCCTTGGAAACCTTGTGCTGAAAGCCGTGTTCCTCATAGTCTGGGTCTGAACCTTCCGCATAGAATCCCAAGGAGATTGTCACAAATATGTCCTTGCCCTGCACGTGTTCTGGAGAAGTGCATTAAAACGGGAGACGCTGCTTACCCACTTCTCTTCCCTGCAGTTCCTCCTCTGTCACAGTCTCCTTTGGGGGCTCCACTTCTGCCCCCAGCGGGAGTTGCTGCCGCCCTATTCCATCTTTCCCCCTTTGACCTACTTCTTACTTGGTGTTCTCTGTCCAGTTTCACTCTCGTGTTTAGTCATCGCCTCCATCTCCAGTCACAGCACCTGCTTGCTGCACAGCCTGCGAGGTCCTCGCGAACACTAAGCTCATGGTGTACAAAAGAGTGCACCTGCCCTCCGTCCCCAGCTGCCGCTCCCCCAGAGGCCCGGAGGGGCCGTTAGCTGCTTCATCCCCTGAGCGGAGCTTCACAGGTCCCCTGGGTGCCCCTTTCAGTCAGTCACCGAGTATCCTCCAAGTCCTCAGATCCGTGACTTCCTGCCCGCCCCCTCCACCCCTGGCGCCTGCGGTGACATCCTCCTGGACCGCTGCAGCGACGCTTGCTGGTTCCCTGCTCTATGCATGTTCCTCTGCAGGGAAACCTAGAGCTGCCACAAACCACACACCTGTGCTGTCCACCTCCCTCCGTGACCCAAGCCATCCAACTCAAACCACTTGCTCATGTCTATCCAGGAAATTAGAAAAAGCCCTACTTGGCCGGGCGCGGTGGCTCACGCCTGTAATCCCAGCACTTTGGGAGGCCGAATCGGGCGGATCACCTGAGGTCAGCAGTTCGAGACCAACCTGGGCAATATGGTGAAACCCTGTCTCTACTAAAAAATACAAAAACTAGCTGGCCATGGTGACGGGCGCCTGTAATCCCAGCTATTCTGGAGGCTAAGGCAGGAGAATGACTTGAACCCAGAAAGCAGAGGTTGCAGTGAGCCAGGATCAAGCCGTTGCACTCCAGCCTGGGTGACAAGAGCAAAACTACATCTCAAAAAAAAAAAAAAAAAGAAAAAGCCCTCCTAAAGGTGTGACGAAAGCGTAAAAATTATAATCTTAAAACTTCTTAAAACACATAGAAGCGGTTAAGGGCTTCCTTAAGCAAACTACTTCAGACATTGGTCATATAAATTTGTTTTAATACACAAATTCAGTTGCACATTGGAATTTGTAACAGATTTTGGTGACAAGTGAAGAAAACCTAAAAGTCTTTCAAATGTAGCTGCTTCAAAGTTCTGGACCACATGAGTCTCACGTTGTCAAAAGCCTTGTTTCAGACCTGGTAAAAATATCAAGACAAAGCATTTTAATATAGATCTGTTTTAGGGGTGTGTGTGTCTATGTTTAGAAACAGGGTCTCACTCTTGCCCAGGCTGGCGTGCAGTGGTGCAATCACAGCTCACTGTAACCTCAGCCTCCCAGACTCAAAGCAGTCCTCCTGCCTCAACCTTTCAAGTAGATGGGACTACAGGCCACCACTCCTGGCTTAGTTTGTTTTAATACATGTATTAGTTTGCAAGGGCTGCCATAATAAAGTACCACAGACTGGGTGCCTTAGACAACAGAAATGTATTTTCTTATGTTCTGGATGCTGGAAGTCCAAGCGCAAAGTGTCTGCAGGTCTGGTTTCTCCTGAGGCTTGCAGACAGCCACTTCTCCCTGTCCCTCTGTCTTCACATGGTCTTTTCTCCACGCATGCACATCCCTGGTGTCTCTGTGTGTGTCCAAATTTCCTCCTATGAGGACACCAGTCAGACTGATAGAGCCCACCTGTAATACATATGACCCCATTTAACCTGAGCCACCTCTTTACAGGCCCTATCTTCAAACACAGTCACATTTGGAAGTACTGGGAGTTAGGGCTTCAAATATGAATTTTAGGAGGACACAATTTGGCCCATAATAATGCACTTCCTTCTAAAGATGCTGTATTAACTGAGAACAACAGGATTCTTTTTTTCTTTACCAGAATCCTTTCGGCAGTAAAGTCAAAACCATCCACTAACCCAAGCGCCACAGGGAATTC